GAGGCAAGGAAGACTAGTTCTGACGAAGTGGGCAGTACTTTCTGCCAGAGATAGATCAGCCACTTTCCATTTCCTAAAACTGGGATTTCTCTATTCAGGCTGGGAAGCTTGGGCAATACATTCAGGCCCTGCGTCTGGTTCCCTCTGATCACATGATGGAACCAACATCAGAGCTTTCCAGGAAATGAGGCTGGTCATCCGATTGCTGAAAACAAGCAGATAAATAATTGATCAACTCAAATCTGTGCTTCCAAAGATCACTGATAAAAGTGAGCCAGCCACTCTCCTATTTCAAGAAGGCTTGGGTCTCTGGCTAAAAAATCAGAAGATGCAGCTAATGAACATTTTATTCATTTCTGGCTGTATCTAAAGATCATGTGTAGCTACCCAGTCCTTATTCCAAGTTGTTCTCAAAAGTAGAAAGGTTCCTCTATCTTTACACTCTTGCTCAGATAAAGGCCATATCTCATACCTTCTTGTGTTACTTCATTTGTCCTCGGAGCCTTCACAAAGGAGATTTTCCTTTTTTCATTCATAATACTTTACCAAAAAAAAAAATCAAACCCATTGCTGTTGAGCTGATTCTGACTCATAGCTACCCTATAGGAAAGAGTAGAACTGCCCCATGGGGTTTCCAAGGAGTAGCTGGTGGATTTGAACCGCTGACCTGTTGGTTAGCGGCCATAGCTCTTAACCACTGCACCACCGCCGCCCCATTAATTCCATATAGCTCTGATCAAATAATTCCAGAAAGTGTCTCAGAAATTTTCATATTGGATTTGAACTACATGTTTTTGTTTTTGTTGTTAAGTGTATTTTATTTGCCCTTGTTTGTCACTAACAGTAATGTCTACTGTTTCTCTTATGCAGCAGCATGGTATCACTGAAAGAACTAGGAATTAAAGTCAAGATGTGTGTTCCAGTTTCAATTCTGACAGTTACTGGCAGAACAAGTCACTGAATCTTCCATTCATTCATTTATTCAATGCCTAGTTTGTACTAGTCACTAAGCTAGGTGCTGGGAACACAAAGATACATGAAACACATTCCCTGCCCTTAAGGAATTCATAATCTAGTAAAGGAGACAAACAAGTAAACATATAATACAGAGGGATAAATGCAATGATGAAAGATTTACTCCGAGCTGGAACTAGGGGAAACGGAAACACTCTGGGAGGTGTCCCCAAGGAGTTCTTAAAGTCTGAGTAGGAGCTAGCCCCAGCAAAGGGCCAGGAGCATATTACAAACAGGGGTCCCAACTCAGGCAAAGGCATAGACTAAGGAAAACCCAAGTTCAAGATAAAAAACCAAACCAAGCCAAACCAGTTGCCATCGAGTTGATTCCAACTCATAGTAACCCTATAGCACAGAGTAGAAGTGCCCCATAGGGTTTCCATGGAGCCGCTGGTGGATTCGAACTGCCGACCTTTTGGTTAGCAGCCATAGCTCTTAACCACTGTGCCACCAGAGCTCCAAAAGCCTGACAGTGTGTAAAATTTAATTTTGGATACACACACACTCATGTACAAACTAGGAAGAAAGGCCTAGCCATCGACCTTGTAAAATCAGCCAATGAAAATCCTGCGGATCACAACTGTTCACAACTGATCCTGGGGATGGCCAGGACAGGGCAGCATTTTGTTCAGTTGTGCACGGGGTTGCCATGAGTGTAGGGCCCACTCAATGGCAGCTAACAACAATGTATACACGCACTTAACTTTTTTTTTTTTGGATGAATTAAACTGATTGAGCCAGTTCATCTTAATGTAAGCTAAAGGCATAGGATAAAATCAGGCCAGAATCAAAGAAAGACTGTGTGTTTAGCAAAACATTGCAGATCTTTGCCTCATGACCATGTAAAGACATGTAGTCAGGTTAAGATTTCACCCCGCCATGGTGGGAGAAAGTGGATGCGTTCTCCCTCTCTTGCTGGTTTTGTCTAGTTTTTCCCATGTACAGATGCTTCTACCACACCACTGTCCCTTGCATTTGTCCTGGACCATTGAAGAGGCTCACATGGGGTTTTGATACAGTTGAGCAAAGCTGCAGGACCCAGGCTGCTTTCACTACTGCAGTGCAATCAAAGGGGAACCTATTAGCAGCCGACAGAGGCAAGGCCTCTAGGGGGGTAGGTGGGGAGGAAGTTGGTGTGATTAGATATGGGGTGGGGGAAGACAACTTCCATTTGATATTTCCAAATTTCGGAGTCCTGGTGGTGTAGTGGTTAAGAGCTATGGCTGCTAACCAAAAGGCTGGCAGTTCAAATCCACCAGTTGCTCCTTGGAAACCCTATAGGGTCACTATGAGTCGGAATCGACTCAGTGGCAATGGGGTTTTTTTCTTGTTTTTGGTTTTTTATAGGAGTAAACCATTTTATTCCAGTATCATCTCTGGGAAGTAGTAAGTGAAAGATACAAAAACCATAGCAACTTTCAGTTGCTAAAGAACATTATACTGGAATATTGATTTGCTATAATTATTGCTGGTGTGGTCGGTGCCGTTAGTCCTCAAGATAGGTCCTGATGGGCCAGCTGACCCTTGTTCTAGTTCCATAGCTCTGAAGAGGAAAGTACTTGAAGCAGTCTGTTTTAGTCTGGGGAGGTGAGAAGGATGAGAACTGTGTCTGTGACTCAAGTGTTCTGTCCTGTACTCTGTAGTCACACTGTATTATACTGAGACTGATGACACTCACCAGCTCAGATGGAGTGGTCCACAGAATACATCCAGACTAACCCATCTGCAATATATTCCAGCCTTATGTTTAAGAGTGGGCTTCCAGGGAGGCAGAGCACTTTCTGAAGGTCTGATATGGACCCTCATTCATCCAGATGTTAATCATCTGCAGTTCAGGGGTTCCCTGCCCCAACCCTCAGAGAATAGTTAGCAACTCCTATCTTAAAGCTGTCATGTTTTATTATTGTGCTTTAGATGAAGGTTTACAGAACAAATTAGTTTCTCATTAAATATTGTTTCGTGACATTGGTCGCCAACCCCACAAGTGTCAACATGCTCCCCTTCTTGACCCTGGGTTCCCCATTACCAGCTTTCCTGTTACCTTCTGCCTTCTCGTCTTTGCCCCTAGGTAGGTGTGCCCATTTAGTCCCATTTTGTTTCATGGACCTGTCTAATCTTTAGTTGAAGGGTGAACCTTAGAAATGACTTCAGTACTGAATTAGAAGGGTGTCTGGGGGCCATACTCTCGGTGCGGGGGTGGGGCGTGGGGAAAAGGGCAGTAAGTCTGGTCTTTGTGTGTGTTAGAATTTTGTTCTACATTTATCTCCAGCTCTGTCCGGGACCCTCTATCGTGATCTCTGTGAAGAGTAGTCAGTGGTGGTAGCTGGGAACCATCTACTTGTGCTGGACTCAGTCTGGAAAAGGCTGTGGTAGTTGTGGTCCATCAGTCCTTTGGAGTAATCTTTCCCTTGTGTCTTTGGTTTTCTTCATTCTCCCTTGCTCCAGAGGGGGTCAGACCAGTGGAGTATCTTAGATGGCTGCTCACAAGCTTTTAAGACCCCATATCTGTCACGTATTTTTGACTGTTCTTATACCTGTTTCCTTTAGGTATAAATCTTAATCGACCCAGGTAGCATCTTGCTGTCAATCTCAATGTATTATCGACAGGCAGTCTTTTAATTCCTTCAGGTATACTACCCCCAAAATTCTCGCTCCATAAATACACAGCAATTTAGTTCTACTGTGAATTTTGAGAAAAGGTGGCCAGATAAATTTAAATAAATTCTAATAACTTTTGCGGCCACATGCAGAACAGAATTGAAAAGAGCTATGCTAGCTGTTGAAAGACCATCTCTTCACTGCCGTTATCTTCAACTGAAAGGAAACTAGGGGATCTGTCATGAACTTGGTGAAACAGAATCGATAGCTACAAAGACACACCAGGTTGAGTGAGCTGCAGCAAGGGCAAGGACTTTGAAGTCAGGTAAAGCTGGGCTTAAATCCCAGCTCAACCACTTAAATTATGATTGATCTTGGACAAGTTAAAGAACCTCCCCAGGCCTCTCAGCCAACTGTAAATGGTGATGCACCTACGTAAAGCACCATAGATGGAAATTATTATCCTGATGCTCCTCCACCTAGATGGCAGAGGAACTCAGAACAGTCCAGTTCATTTGAAGTGCTCGAGTTCAAGCTGAGGGTAATAGTGGAAAGAGATACTCCAAAATGTAAAAAAGAAAACACTGCCAATTACTGGTGTGAGGAACGGAGAAACAATGGTAATTGGGACATTTTACGTGAATGAATTCTAAAGAGTGAAATCAGGGAAAAAAATCAAAAAGTTAATATAATGGTTTAAGAGTTCATTGTTTTTAACTGCCAGATACTCTTGACCAATCTGAAAAATTTCATTTGACAATTTTCCTATCTACTTAGGATTCCCCGTACCTACTCACCCCATCCCACCCTCCTACACCCAAGAGATTAAGCAATGAGAGTCAGCTTGGTACATTCAGTCCCACACAAAAGCAGCAGGAAGATCTAAGTAACCAATGTGCTTATGATAAGGTAGGAGAAAAACCATCCCTTCTCTCCTCCATTTGATTCCAAACTATAATACAGCAGACAAAGACATCAGCAAGTTTGAGTGAAATGTTTACATTTATATTGAAATATGCACTAAAGCAGAATGAGTTCTACTAGTCAATGAAACTTTGCCAAAGCAGAATCACAAACTTCTGTTGAGGAGGTACAGTCAGCTAGCAGCAGTGATCCCCAAGCAGGAACACCAAGGAGAAGCCCACGGGACCCCTCTCCAAAAAGCCTTATTTCAAGAGGTCCCAACTCACTTCTCCCACATGCACCCACACAGATTTAGGAGCCTGGACATGCTCCTCATTTTCACATATTTTTAGTTTCTTCTTCACTGCAATAAATATAAAATTGGCAATGCTCATACACCACAGCACAGACAGTATTTCAGGCTTTAGCATACAACTGTAAACAGTGACTAGGTTAAAAAATTAAAAGGAAAGAGAAGTTGCAAATTTTTTTTTTTTTAAACAATAAGAGGCAGAATTCCTAAGAGCAGGGCATGAGCTACTCAAGATTTGTTTTGTTGGGTTAAGGTTTTTGACAGATTCGGGTTTAGACATATGCCCTCAGCAGTCCAGAGAGTCCCAAGGTGACAGCCAAAGAACTGCCTATGGCAGTGCAGACGGCGTGGGCAGCCAACAACCTGTTCTAGCTCATCCTGGGCAGCACATCTTCAACCTGCCACATTCAAGATGTGACCACAGACATCTGTAGAGTTCCATCACTGGTTGCCATCTAATGTAGTGAGAATGGGTGGGCAAATGAATTAAACTTTGCTGGGAGAGGAACGGAATAATACCTCTGCTAGCTGCCTGAAAAGCTGGCCCTCTATCACCATGACAACTAGGACATTTCACTTGGACAGTGCATTGAAAAAAAAAAAAGGCGAAAAGTACAGAGAGAAGTCCAAAGACTAAGCATTAAGTCCTTTTGCTATAGCAAACTGGGATGCCTAAAGCAGTGCAAAGAAATCTGGCAAGAAATGAAAGTGGACTCAATATCGCACAGTAGCAATGGGGCAGAATTTTATTTAAAAGGCTAGTGGTTCAAATACTATTGCTTGAATAGCCTGGTAGATATAAAATGTAGTAATGCCTGAAGTTTACACATATAAGCAAAAGGAGCTGAAGGTCAACTCACAAAGGGATATCTGATGCTCAATCAATATAGAAGCTAAAAGCACATGCTGCATGAGTAACCTAACAGGCTTATTTGGACCGTACTCCCACTCTCTCACAACCAGAAAAAGATCTGGATAGGAAAGTGTCTTTTCACACACAAAATTCTGGCTTAATTAATTGTCCTCCCTAGAACTATGCCTCGGCTAAGAAAAAAACCTGTCTTGAACAAAACTCAAGAACCTGGGCTACTAAAAATAAAAAGGACATTTCAACATAGTAAACAAGTTCAGTATACACCATATGTATTTGGTGTTGTTAATGAAGACATGATACATTCAGAAAAATATGTATTTTTTTTTAAAAAAAGACAAAAAACAAAAAATCCTAGAAAGATTCTCCAAGAAAAAAATTAGCCCAAGTCCTATCCCTCTCAATCAGAAGTGAGTCTTAGCACAAATCAGCCTACCCTACCCCCCAACATATAAAAGCACTGCCACTTGCCTTGCAAGCAGAACATAAAACATATGCCTTAGTTACTGAACTTGAACATTAAGCAGAATCATTGCAGAGCATATTTTGATGGGTTATGTCAATACCCACCTGGTCCAGTTTAAAATATTTGTTTGTAGATCCAGTTTGTACATATTCCATAGGTACTATTTAACAATAAACCATATACAGTCCCATTATTTTTTAAATGGCAGTTCTTGTAGCTCAAGCAAACCATTAATATTATAGAAGTTTCTTGGGGGGAAATTCTTAGATGGTGGGGATACATTAATGAGAAACCCTAAAAGTTAAACAAACCTAGTTCTTTTTAATTAAAACGGTAAGATAAAAGTAGAATATCTGTTCTGAAGAACAGTTTCGTTTGTTTCCCCATGGGAAAAGGCCAAATTTTTTTGGACTGATATACTTTAAAAGCTAAGCCAATAATAAAATATACACCTTAAGATACTATAAAACTTGAAATAATGCAGGTCTCATGAACTAAGAAACAGAGTTCTGATTCCCCCTGCCCCCTAAAAGGAAACTAAAACCGAAAACCAACCAACCAACCAGAACTCTGAATATGGATAGCACTACACAGACTCTATAGCACAGAACACCATACTAGAATGAGTTACATACCAGTAATATCATCATGAGAGTTAACTGGCTGGGGACTTATATTTCCAATAACAGAGTTCCACGGTCAAAAACGTGTTAAAAGCTTGTGATGTCAACAAGGACCAAAAAAAGAGGGGAGGAAAGAGGAGGAAAGGCTGCATGCATGGGTCTATTATAGACATGATATTCAGCAGCATAAAAATAAAACCCTTCAAAGGGTCCCTAAATGGGGCAAAACTTGTTTTTCACTGCTAAGCAGAAGAAAGATTAAAGAGTGGAGCGACTTTACTAGCATCTCCCATATTTGAATGACGATCGTGTTCAATCTGATGTATATGTTAGGAAAACCTTGAGAATACGTATGAGTAAAGCAAAATAAAGACAAAAGTCTAAAATATAAACCTTAACTGGAAAAAAAAAAATCTGTTTTAAAGCCAAGTAAATGTGATTCTGATAATTATTATACATGACATAATCCATAGAAAGAAAGGCCAAGATAACAATCTTCATACTGTTCAGTACTTAGGCTGATGTTGTCCTAGGAAAAACAGTGATAATTCAATGACTGTGTCACACAAACAACTAAAAGTTCCCTTCTGGTTTCAAATGAATTTAAACAACAATGTTCCTTGGCTAATTTTTCTCCTGTGTAAAACAAACCTTCTATGTACAGGATCAGTTTAAATCCCTCCTCCCCTTTAAACACTAGAAAGAACATCCAGGAACATTCTACAATGCAAAGTGCCTTAAGAAAGAGAAGGATTCTGTAGTGCCAGTGATATAACTGATCTGAGGAAGCCGTGATGCTATTAACACTGATGGGAGCCAGTCAGGCAATGGTGGTTTGTTTCTCTTCAGGTGTTTCCTCCAACAACTGCATGATCAGTTCATGGAGAGGTTTGCAGATCTTTGCATAGCCCCCTCCTGTGAGATGCAGAAAATCGAACATGTCGTGGCAGGAGATGGCACCGTCCGAGTGCACAAAGCCGCCATCTGTATCCAGGAGCTGAACGTTGGCAAGCTTCGGCAGGGAAACCTTGAGAAGTTGGTTCACCTTGGCATTCTTTTGCCTCAAAGGGTTGGGCTTCTCACCTCGCGGTAACAAACCCTGGGGCAGAGCAGAGAAGAACATAAAATGAAAAGATTCATTCATTTCTCTCTATTTGTGATTTCACGTATTCCTGGAATCACTGCTCCATTTGGCACTTTCTATTCCTTTGATTTCAGAAAACACTGGACTAGATTGGTTTTCATAACAGCTCTCTAATCATTCCTTCTCAGTTTCTTCATGGGTTCCTTGTCCTCCTCCTGTCCCTTAACTGTTGGAATTCTCCAGGGTCTTGTTCTTAGTGTACTGCTCTTCCCAGTCTAACACTTTACTCCAGATATCTTCCTAACCAAAAAACCAAATTCACTGCCATCACGTCAATTCCGATTCACAGCAACCCCATAAGGTTTCCAAGGCTGTAAATCTCTAAGGAAGCAGACTGCCACAACTTTCTCCCGCAGAGCGCTGGTGGTTTCAAACCACCAACCTTCTGGTTAGCAGCCGAATACTTAACCACTGCACCACCACGACTCCAGATCTCTTCCTAGAGCCTCCGAATTGCATATTGAACTGCCAGTTATAAAATCAAACCTGAACGTTCCTGGGGCACATCCAACTTAACGTGTCCAAAAGCAAATCATCTTCCCCCTAAGCTACGCTCCTTCTACATTCTCTGTATCAACTGGTCATTCCAACATCCCCGAGTTACCAAAGCTAAAAGCCTGTCTCATCTCGCATACCTTACCTACTTATCAAATTACCCAGTTTTTGTTTCTTAAATTTCTTCAATCCGTTCTCTTTTCTCCATCTCTATTATATACATGGAGTCCCTGGGTGGTACAAAAGGTTAAGCACTTGACTACTAACCAAAAGGTTGGCGGTTCCAACCCACCCAGAGGCACTCGGAAGAAAGGCCTAGTGATCTGCTTCTGAAAGGTCACAGACTTGAAAACTCTGTGCAGCACAGTTCTACTCTGCAACACATGAGGTCACCATGAGTCGGAATCGACGGCAACTGGTGTTTTTGGTTTTACTGCATACACTGATATTGCTTGGGAAATTGTCCCTACTCATCTCAATGTAAAATCTCCTGATTGGTCTTCTTACCTCCAGTATTGTCCTTCCCTTCAATCCATTCTCCATACAGCCAGCAGAATAACCTCGTTCAAATACATACCTACCTATTAATACCGCATGCAACCTACACTATAATATACCGTGAGAAATAAGAGTTGGAGCGGACGCTGTCTTGATGATCAGACACACATAATATCTAGTAGCATAAAACAGATGAGTTCTACGTTCATTTTTAACTTGTATGTTAATGATATAATTTTCAGATAAACTGGATTATCTGCCTTCCTACTACGGAAAATAAAAGCCTGCCCTTATTTGGCAAGAGCAAGGTTTTATCATCTTGAACTAGAAGTAGCCTCCTACAGGCAATTGATCCCACTACACATTACTGCCAGAGATCCCAACCTTTTAGTTGGTTTATAGTAAATCACGCTACAGTCAAGTTATTGTTATTTAGCAAAAATTTTGCCATCAGTTTCTCCTACAGGGTACGGTAAGAAGTTTTATTTCATGAAAGAGATTTCCTGTGGATATTTTAGTGAAACAACATGTTTTAGAAAGTCCTTGTTCATATCTGCTTTAAAATTTTTCATAAAACTTTAAAGCCTTGATTATCAGCTTATTGTGTGGTTGTGTAGTTCCAAAGGAGAACCATAGAGAATTATGACTCTGCTGCCCTGGTCCATCTCCTTCTATCTTTGTTAAGCTCTTCAAAAACGTCCCAAGACAAGGTCAATCCTACACCCTAGTTTGTATGACAGTTAAAAAATTATAAGGCTCCGTATCTAATAGGTAACACAGAAGAGCTACCCTCAATGCTGACATATCAAAGTCTGGCTGAGATACAATGCACAACCAAAAGGACAGTCAGTGAACAATAAATACACACTTTGTTCTGACTTTCAAAGAACACTACAGCAGTCAAAGTCAAAAGAATGATGAAGCCTCAAGAACAGGGCAATGCACCTGTTGAGATTTTCAAGCAATGATGTGAAAAATGGCTTATGTACTTGCATACCAGTCTCCTTAATAAATGAATATCAAGGGTATGCCACATGATTTTTTCCTTTGATTTTTAGTAATTTCTAAAATATCAGAATGTTAAAGGAAACAAAAAAGAAAAGGTTACATTCCTATTATCTTCAACCTATAACAACTGTTTTGTTTCCTTCTAGTCCTCTTCCAATTGAATACATACATTTAAGTAGTTCTAAATATACTATACATACGGTTTGGTATTCCATCTTTTCATTTAAATACACCATAAATTCTGTTTCCACATGGTCCTAATAACTGTCTTATTTGGTGCCGCCGAGTCTACTTCGACTCATAGTGACCCCATGTGGACCCCAGAGTAGAAATGCCTCATGGGTTTTCTAGGCTGTAATCTTTATGGGAGCAGACCACCAGGTCTTTCTCCTCACAGAGCCGCTGTGTGGGTCTGAACCACCAACCATTCATTCCCTAGCAGCTATTTAGTTTACTTTCAATATTTCTGTATTGTAGATAACATCAAAATTAACACTTCTATATATCAAATTTAAAAGTCGAGTTGAAATAATATTTATGGAGGATTTATTCAGCAACATCTATATAACAAATTTCCTAACAGTAGTTTCCTAAGCAACTACGATGTACGGGCCAGTGTTCTTTAGAGAAGGACTCTTAGCCACAATGTAATCCTTTATGGAATAAAGCAGGATATGAGTAAGTACATAAACAAGTAAATTAAATCTAATACTGTGTAATTAAAAAAAAAAGACCTGACTCCCCAGCACCTATAAAATCCAAACTCCCTAATATGGCCTACAAATTCCTATATAACCTGGCTATGGCCTCTTTTTCCTAATCATCTCAGCTTCAAACTTTATGCAACGACAAATCTAAAGTTCTCTTAGCATCCTCCCCTACTCACTCAGCAAACACACAGATACAACACAAGCCTTTGATCATTTTTTCTCCCTCTGTAATGCCTTTTCTGTTCTCCTTTCCCCATATGTCTAAAGACTAATGAATTCTTTAAAACTAAACTCAGGTACCAACTGTTATGCCTCAACTTTTATGTCCTCCTCTCAGCATATGGTATGGTAATTCTCTCTTTATACTGCTGTCCCCATACACAAGACTGTGAGCTCCTTGAGAGGGACTATGTCTTGCTCATCTCTATTTTCAGGACCTAGGACAGTGCCTGATACTTAGCAACACTCACGTTGTTGAATGAATGACTACCTTAACACTACTTAAGAACTGAATACATTAAAGAACTGAATTACTATCAGATTTCGCTTAAACGTATGTTTCAAGTTGAACTAAGAATATCTACAGCTAAACTTTTACAGTGAAACAGACAGCTGTTCACCTCAGAGACCATAAAGACTTAATGCTTATTTTTTTTAAAAAAAAGGTCTAATGCTTATAGCTCTATAAAGAGTAGCACTTTCTGTTTGGAGTAAGACTATATATAATGTACTCATTTTTTGCTGATAGTTATTTCTGATGTTTTAGGAAATCCAGAGATTCTGATAAATACACCGCCTTTAACATATTAACAGTGGAACAGAACAACATATCTAAATTAATCCAAATCCAGGCCTAATAACAAGAGACTCAGGATTCATACAAGTCTCATATGCAACCTTTTTAATATTTAAATTACTAGTAGAAGGCAATCTAAAAAAAAAAAGTAAGGTACCTGAATTAAAAAGAGGATTTCCATCCTTCTAAGCAAGGACAAGTGAATAAAAGATAACCCCACAGACTGTCTGGGGAATGATGATGAGACCAGTAAGACAATGGGGTGCATCAGAGAAGAGAGCACAGAAAGAGCTATAAAGAAGCACCTTAAACTGCTTCCACCTAAAGACTCTCTATTCTTGAGTGATCACATTTCTAAGATCATCCCTCAGCTAACCTAAAGACATTAAGGTCTCCACACACCCAACGACTGCATACCAATACAATGATCTTGGCCTGTGGCTGCCTTGTGTTGATAAGTTGAACGATGGCCTCAATCCCACCTGCTACCTCTTCTGCCGTATTTTCATGGTTGTTTGTTCCAACCCAGACAACAATGACCTATAGTTGAGAGAAGAAAAGAAGGGGAAAAAAGATGAATACCAGGGAATAATGGAATGTCCAATATTTAGATGAAAACCTTAAATCAAGTATCAAAGGAGGATAGATGAACTTCTTAAATGGCGCTGGCTAACTCCAACTGGACAGCCATCTTAAAACACGGATCTATACCTCACATCATGTATCAGGACAAATTCCAAATGGACTAAACATTCAAGTGGCAAAACTGTACTAGAAGGAAACAAGGAAGAATTATTTTATCATTGTGGAGTTGGAAGTAAATTTCTCAAAATCTAATAGCTATACAGAAAAGACTAACAAATTCAACCATATAAAAATATAATCTTCTGCATATAAAAAAAATATTAGAGCAAAGTGAAATCTAAGCAACCTGGGGAAAAATACTTGCAACTCATATCATAAAGACTTAGTCTCCCTGACTAGAAGTATCTTCTAGAAAAAGTAAGAAAAGTACCCAAAGGAATTGAATGGGTGTAAATACACAGTTGCACTAAAGGAAAAGCGTTATTGGGGTGGAGGTTGGATACAGTTTTTAAGAGATTTTCTCTTTAAAAAAAAAAAAAAATTAAAAGGTGGCTGTCACTTAGAGACATACATCTCATTAGGTGACCCAACAAAGTAAATCTTTACTCTCTCCCAGAAGAGAGGCAAATGGATGCATTTTTCTATTAGAAAGGCAAACAGTAAAATGCTTTCAGCTAACATAACTGTTATTAGTTGTTCAGCTTTGTTTTTTCTTTGGCTGGGGTTGAAAAAATTATATGCAGTGTCCCAACTCCAGACATTTATAAGGTGATAAGTTACTGGATGGATGTCATGGTGAATATTTGTTCACATCTGCTTTAAATTTTCTTCAGAAAAACTTGGAGGCCTTGATTATCAATTTGCTTATATGGTTAAACAGAATCAAAATTACTTCCTGAAGTTAATAACGGCCCTGCTCCCATGGCCCACATCTGAGCAGTGTCCCCCTCATACTGTCCCTGGCCCATGTATTCCCCAGAACAGCACACCTCATTTGCATCAAATCTATTTCTACCACTTAAAAAGATAATTACAACAATTACAAATAAAAGCTAGGCAAACAGTACGCTGATTTCTTAACTGAATATGTATTCTGGCATATGCTCTAAGCAATGACAGTATTGTTTTTCTTAGACACACGAAGCAAAGAGCAATAGTGACATAGCGCTTTAAAGAAGCCATGTTTTTTACTGCCAATTTCAGACAATTTAAATACTTGAAAAAGTCTCAACATTATGGTAATTATTTCTTTTAAAAATAAGTTTCTTTTTACCTTAGGTTTAATGTTCTCCAGTTCTCCATTCTTTAGTCTCCACAAAACATGTCTTGTTGTATCTCCTCCAATTCCAAAATTCAGTGCATGAAGAGGGGAAAAAAGTTCTCGCCATATCTAAAAAAAGAACATGATTTATTTAAGCCAAAATTAGTGTGGGAAATAAAATCCTTCCATTGCAATGTGTTGTGAGGCATTTGAAATAAATTTCCATTTTCTGCATTCAAACCTAACACTGTGACTAGTGTGCCACTCACTGCTTAAAAAGCTTTGAAGATGCCATCGTACAACTCAGTTCTTAATGAAGCATTAGGACTCAGCTTAAGAAATGAGTCACAATGCAACCTGATGCCGCTTAAGAAGTACCAATATTTATAACTAAGCTGGCATCTCAATAAATTCTCCTTTCCCTTTATGCAACCATTTAAAGAAACAGGGTGAACTAGAAACATGAGATGAAGATACTTAGTGTGTTGGAGCCAAAAAGGAATAAAGTTATCTTTCTTTTAAATTTCCCTTAGAAGAATGCCTAACCAAAAAAAAAAAAAAAAAAAAATGGAAGAACTTATCACAAAAATACATAAGAAAATGGTAAAATGCAAATAATAAGAATTGAAAATCATGATTAGGACAAATACAAACACAGTATTAGGCAAATTAAGAGAGTTTAGTTATAAACAATGCTAACTTTTTTTGTCTCATCACGCTTAGCGGCACAACGAATCCCATTAGGTAGGTCTGACTTCTTTATACTCTGAACTAGAGCTTTCTAAGAGTCATGAATAAGTCTACAGGTTCAGCTCAGAATAATAATCTGTTAGTAATCAACGAATATACATTAGTAGCCAAGAGCCACTATCACCCCTTCTACCTTTACCTCATATTGCTGCATTAACTGCACCATGGAGTCTCCTACAAATAGTACATCAGGCTCTTTGTCTTTACAGTCCAGGACAAATCTGTTGTGCTGGTTTGGGGAAGAAAGGAAAATTAGAAACTGGTATTTCTTTCCCTGTGAGATGTCCTCGCCTAGAAAGAACAGGTGTCCAACCAGTTACTCTGTTGTCAATCTTTTAAACATTTTTGTTGTTATGTTGTTGTCGTGCCCCCAGAGCTCATTCCTTTGGATCTGCAATTAATTGCTGGAAGTTTCTTCCCGCCCTCCCATACTGATCATTCTAATATACTCAAGAAAACCAGAATTCTACTGAAATCAGAATAGAAAAATACATTTAACATGTTTTTTTTAAAAGTTTACCTTTTCCCCACTTTCATTATGAAACCTACAGATATACAGAAAACTTGAAAGAACAATATAATGAACACCTGTAAACTCACCACCTATATTCAACAACTAATAACATTTTTCTGTATTTGTTTTTTCTGTGCGTGTGTGTGTTTACTGAATCATTTGATGTTTAAGTTGTGGACGTCTTGATTCTTCATCCCTAAATATTTAAGGATGCATCTCCTAAGAGTACGGGCATTTTATAAAATCACAAAACTATTACTGTACCTAAGAAAACGAACAGCAGTCCTACTAACATCTAATATTCAGTCCAGATTCAATTTTTTCCAATTGTCCCAAGAGATGAACAAAGAACTACAGCTATTTTTTTACAACTGTACTTTAGATAAAGGTTTACAGCACAAATACTTCCTCATTAAATAGTATAAATATTGTTTTATGACAATGGTTGACAACCCCACAACATGTCAACACTGTCCCTTCTCAATCTTGGGTTCCTTATTACCAGCTTTCCTGTCCCCTCCTGCCTTCTAGTCCTTGTCCCTGGACTACTGTGCCCCATTAGTCTCCTTTTGTTTTATGGGGCTATCTAATCTTTGGCTGAAGGGTGAACCTCAGGAGTGACTTCAGTACTCAGCTAAAAGGGTGTCCGGGGGCCATACTCTCAGGGTTTCTCCATGCTATGTCAGGCCAGTAAGTCTGGTCTTTTTTTGTGAGTTAGAATTTTGTTCTACATTTTTCTCCAGCTCTGTCTGGGACCCTATGTTGTGATCTTTGTCAGAGCAGTCAGTGGTGGTAGCCGGGCACCGTCTAGTTGTACTGGACTCAGTCTGGTGGAGGCCATGGTAGTTGTGGTTCGTTAGTCCTTTGGACTAATCTTTCCCTTGCGTCTTTGGTTTTCTTCATTCTCCCTTGCTCCCTAAGGGGTGAGAACAGTGGAGTATCTTAGATGGCTGCTCACAGGCTTTTAAGACCCCAGACATACAGCTATTTTTTAACTAAGATCCAATTGAGATTCATGTATTTTATTGGGATCTTTTTCATATGGACTTTAGAAATGTCTGTTAACCTCTAGATGTGAGACAATGGCAAACAAGGACTCAAGCTTTCTCAAACTAATCCAAGGGTACAAGCAATGGCAAACTAAGTCCTGTTATGCCTCACTCTGCTCAAAACACACAAGGTACCTCTTTTATCCTTTATACATATAATTTTTATGGATTTTACCCATCAGCACTTGAGGACATAGTTTAAATTTTTATACTCATCCTCGAAACAAATTTACATGATGCTTCAGGCTTGAGCCTACCCAGCAGCACGGCAGAAGAAAGGCCTGCAGATCTGCTTGTGTAAAGATTATAGCCAAGAAAATCCTATGGAGCAGTTCTACTCTACCACACATGGGAATGCCAATGAGTCAGAACTGACTTGATGTCAGGGTTTTTTTTTGTTTGTTTACAGGTGAAAGAGGAGTCCCTGGGTGACACAAACGATTAAGCGAGTAGTTACTAAGCAAAATGTTGTAGTTAAAACACACCTAACAGGTGCCTTGGAGCCCTGGTGGTGCAGCAGTTAAGTGGTCGGCTGCTAACCTAAAGATCAGCAGTTCGAATCCATCAGCCACTCCTTGGAAACCTCATGGGGCAGTTCTACTTTGTTCTATATGGTTGCTATGAGTCGGAACTAACTCCGTGACAATGGGTTTGGTTTTCTGGTATAGGTGCCTTGGAAGAGAGTCCTGGTGATCTGCTTCTGAAAGGTCACAACTATGAAAGCCCGATGGAGCGCTGTTCTACTGTACAGCACAAAGGGTCGCCATTAACTGGAAATGACTCAATGGCAAGGTGAAAGTAGAGTCCCTGGGTAGTGCAAGCAGTTAGTACACTTGGCTGCTAACCAAAAAGTTGGAGGTTCAAGTTCAACCAGAGACAATTTGGAAGACAGGCCAGGTAATCTACTTCCAAATAATCAGCTACTGAGAACCGTATGACAAGGTCAACAAACAAAAATCAGCTGGGTTTCTATACATCAGCAATGAGAAATCTGAAAGGGAATTTAGGGAAATGATGCCATTTAAAATAGTTTCTAAGAGAATAAAATGCCTAGGAATAAATCTAACCACAGATGTGAAAGACTTATACAATGAAAATTATAAAACACTGCTAAAAGAGATTAAAGAAAGCTTAAACAAATGAAAAGATGTTCCATGTTCATGGACTGGAAGACTTAATATTGTTGAGATGTCAACGCTACCCAATGCGATGTAAAGGTTCAATGCAATCCTGATCAAAATTCAACAGCTTTCTTTACAGAAATGGAAAAACCATGCAATAGCAAGAGGCCCTGAATAGCTTAAACAATGTTGAAAGAGAAGATCAAAGTAGGACTCACATGTCCTAATTTTAAAAACATTATACAGCTACAATAATCAAAAAAGCCTGGTACTGGCGTAACTACAATAGACACACTGATTAATGGAATAGAATTTAGAGTCCAGAAATAAACTCACACATCTATGCTCAACTGATTTTTGACAAGGGTGCTAAGTCCATTCGATGGGGAAAGAGTCCCTTCAATGAATGCTGATGGGAAAACTGGGTTTCCACATTCCGAAAAATGGAACAGGATCCATGTTTCACATCATACACAAAAACTAATTCAAAATAGATTAAAGACCTAAATGTGAAAACTAAAACCATAAAATTCTTAGAAGAAAATATAGGGGCAATGCTGACACACCTAGCTTTTAACAATGGATTATGTAATATAATAACACAAGCACAAACAGCAAAAGACTAAAGAAGTAAATGGGACCTCATAAAAATTAAAAACTTTTGTTCATCAAGACTTTACCAAAAAAGTAAAAAGATAAGCTAAAAACTGGGAGAATATCTTCAGAAACAATATAACTGATAAGTATCTAATAACCAAAATACATAAAAAAATTCGACAACAAAAGGATAAATAACCCATCATAAAACAGGCAAAAAACTTGAATAGACATTTCACCAAAGGGGACATTCAAATGGTCAACAAACACATGAAAAGATGCTCAACATTATTAGCCATCAGAGCTATAAATCAAAATCACAATGAGATACCGTTTCACTCACTAGGATGGCCAAGATAAAAACAAACAAAAAACAGAAAATAACAAACATTGGCGAGGATGTGAAGAAACTGGAACCCTTATCTGTTGCTGGTGAGAATGCAAAATGGTACATCCATTGTGGAAAACAGTGTGGCGGTTCCTCAAAAAACTAAAAACAGAACTAACCACATGACCCAGCAATTCTACTCCCAGCTGCAACCCAAAAGACTTGAAAGCAGAGACTCAAACAGATACTTGTGCACCAATGTTTACTGCAGCACTGCTGACAATAGCCAAAAGGTGCAAACAGCCTAAAAGCCCACCAACAGATGAATGGATAAACAAAATGCGGTACATACATACAATGGACTACTACTCAGCCAGTGAGAGAAATGAAGCCTTGATACACGCTACAATACAGATGGAACCTGAAGATAGTATGCTAAGTGAAAAAAGTCAATCACAAAAGGACAAATATTATATGACGTCTATAAAAAGACAAGAACAGGCAAATGTATAGAGACAAAAATTATTAGTGGCTATCAAGGGAAAGGGAGTGGGAAAGGGGGGTTACTGCTTATGGAATACTGACTTTCAGTTTACAGTGATGGAAAAATCACACTGATTAAGGGTAGGGTTGCACAGTTGATTAATGCAATTGCTACCAATAAGTTGTACACCTGTAAAAAGTTGACATGGCAAAAACTGTGTGATAGATATATTTACAACAACAACCATGAAAAAAAGAGCTGCCATTGAGGCTGCTTATGTACAACCAAATATCTCATGGGATTTGGTTTCCCGGTTTGGAGGTTTAGGATCATGGTTTCATGGGACACCCCAGTTAAGGCTTAATACTGTGTTTAGTGCTTCTGTTCTACCTCCTAATTCATTGTGTAGTGCCTGGGGTTTTAGAAGCTTGCAAGCGGCCATCCAAAGTACAATTGGCCTCTATTCACATACAGCAAAAGAGAAGAAGGAGAATCAGGAACAGGAGGAAATGGAATGTGTGGCTAATTGCCTCCATGAACAATTGCCCCCTTTGCCATGTGACCAGAAGAACTGGATGGGGCCTGGCTACCACTACCACACATTTTAATCCAAGAGTCTATAGAAGAATCCTGATCAAAGGGGGGAAAATGTAGGACAGAATTTCTAATTCTCATAGAATCCAGACTTTCTGGAGCTATGGAAGCTGGATGAACCCCCTGAGATAATCTTTAAACCTCAAACCCAAAATATTCCCTAAAGTTTTCTTAAAACTATAGTCAGCTTAACTAGTAAAGAATGTTTGTCTTGAGCATTGGGCTCTTTTAAGATCCATATGGGATCCAACTGACAAAAGCAACTCAAAAGGTTAGATAGGAAACTTAGGGAGCAGTGGCTTTCTTGATAGGGGAGGAACAACTCAGAAAAGAAGGGTGAGAATGTTTGCACAACTGGAAGAATGTACTCAATGTCACTGAATTGTACATACAGAAATTGTTGAATTGGTGTGTGTTCTGTGTGTATATTCTCAACAACAACAAAAATACATTATAAAAAAAGAAAAAGAAAACCCTGTGGAACACAAAATTGACTAAAGGGCAACTGGTAACACGTGAAAGTGGAAAGTGACAAAAATATG